TTGCCTTTCCTCTTGCCTCCTCCTTCATTATTTCTTTTTTGCTGCTTCTTGCTTTTCTCCCCCTTCATTTAATCTCTGCTGTGTTTGGGGGGGGAGGCTGGCCCCACCCTTAGGCAGGGTGCGGTTGTTAACCTCTGGCAGATGTGGGCAGGGGGGGTTGGTTTGGAAAAGGCAGCCACTTGAAAGTCTGGGAACCGGGGCTTCGGTTGAAGGGTCTGGGCAAAGAGATGAAAAATTTATGTAACTCATTTGTACCGGGACTTTTGGGGAGTTCTCCAGAATCCCTAAACACAACTAGACCAGGGGATCCACTGTCCTAATAAGTTATTTAAAAAGGTCACCATTGAGGGGTGACAGAGGTGCACACAGAAACTGAGAGAGAGAGAGAGGAGATTTTAAGGCCTCATGTACTGCTACCATATTTGCCTACTTTCCAAAACTATGATTTCAGTTTGAAAACAACGTGCTTACTCCCTGCCAGGCTTTCTTTAAAAGGCACAACACGGGGTGGTTGCTGTGACAGATTTTTAGTGTAGTGTGTAGCCCCTGTTGGATTTGAGTGCGAATCCAATGCAGCATAATGCATCTCTAGGAATCCCCCCCCCCAGTCAAGGTAGAGTGATGGAAACAGGCATGTATCATCACCACTCAGTCCAGCATTTAAATCTTCCTGACTGTATCATTCATGGGGTGTAATATCCTGTTTCTGACAGTGCTTGACCTGAGCTTTTTGAGAAGCCTGTAAATCGGCTGCAGAACAATATTGCCTATGGCTACTCCTTCTCTCCAGCACTTAGCATTTAAAGCATATGCTGTTTCTGAACGTGGAATATACAGTTAGGAGTTGTGGATGTTTTCTCTCAAATCTAGTAAATCCATGTCCCAAGACTCCTGTTTAAACTAGTGGTGGCAGCATGAGATTCTCCTTCCTTCCTCCATCTATTGCACCAAGGTTGGGAACCACTGAGCTTTAAACTAGTGGTGGCAGCATGTCTGTCTGTCTCACCGTCATACCATTGAGTTAGAGATTCTCCTTCCTTCCTCCGTCTATTGCACCAAGGTTGGGAACCACTGAGTTTGAGGGTGTCACCATTAGCCATGCTGGCTAAGACCTTTGGGAGTTGAAGTCACAAACATCTAGAGGTCCAGAGTTGAGAACTATTGGATTAGCATAAAATGTGTCCATAATCGTAGTCATTAATGCAGGATTCCTGGTTAACTAACTGTCTGAATGCTGTTGCTACTTCAGGGATGCATCAGTATCTTGAAGCAATGAATAACTTCATGTGCGGTCGGACTGCCTCTAGTCTATTCTTGATTTTTCCCTTTTAGGTGGAAACCATTAACAATAGTCAGTCTTGGACTCTGCATTCTGCGTCACCAAGAAACACAAATTAACTACGTGAAGGCGTCATCCAAGACAAACAACCAGATTTTGGTGTCTAGAACAACGATGGCAGCAGAACACAAAAATGACATTGTCCCCAATCTCCAGGCGGAAGTTACGCCAGAGGAAGGAGCAAAGATAGGAGTGCAGGACCCAGAAGAATCTGAAGCAGAGAGGGTTGTGGCCAGAGGCCTTCCAGTTATCCACTTTGGAGGTCCAAAAGAGCCGTGGGAAGGAGTTGCACCAGAAGATTTTGAACCAGAACTGGGGGGCGAGCCAGGGGATGGTTCTGAAGGAGAGGCAGAAACTTTCTTGAAGGCTGAACAGTCTCCTTCTTCTGACCAGGAAGAGGAACAGCTTCCTATATCAGGATCCAGGCATGATACTCAGGCTGATTCCTCTCCATTTGAGGGAGCCTCCAATGCAGAACTGGAACCTGGAAACCAAGATGGGGGAGCCGGAATTGTGTCTGGCATCGATAGAGAAACCCACCACTCTGTCGGCAGCCTTGTAACCAAAGACGAGCCGGAGTTCATGGAAGTGGTGGAAGAGGATGCTCCAGACGTGGGTGGGGCCACTTTGGATATTGAGCGCCAGTGCTTCCGACAGTTCTGCTACCAGGATGCGGAAGGTCCCCGAGAGGTTTGTGGGATGCTCTGGAAACTTTGCCGGCGGTGGCTGCAGCCAGAGAAGAAATCCAAAGACCAGATCCTGGAGCTGGTGATTCTGGAGCAGTTCTTAACCATCCTGCCGGAGGACATGCAGAACTGGGTGAAAGGGGGCCGTCCGGAGAATTGCTTCCAAGCGGTCAGCCTGGCAGAGGATTTTTTGGTGCGGCAGCAAAGGAAAGCACCACGGGGGCGACCGGTGAGAAAGAATTTGGTCCCGAGGGAGAGGATGAGTGTATCCAAGGCTTTTGGCTAGTACAGTGGTGCCTCGTTAGACAATGATAATCCGTTCCACTGAAATCACTGTTTAGCGAAATCATTATCTAGCGAAAAGCATTTCCCCATTGGAATACATTAAAACCTGTTTAATGCGTTCCAGTGGGGAAGAATCGTCGTTGTCTAGCGAAGATCGGCCATAGGAAAGCTGCTTTGCGAAGCGCTGTTTAAATCCTGTCTTGCAAAGCTTAGGTCCCAAAAACGAACCGCTGTTTAAATCGCTGTCTTGCGAAGCTTAGGTCCCGAAAACGCCCGCAGAGGGAGCTGTAAAAATTGTCGTCTAGCGAAAATTGGTTTGCAAAGCAGGGACCAAACATTGTCCAGCGAAATTCCCCCATAGGAATCATTGTTTTGCGAATCACTATAGTGATCGCAAAAAGCCAATGTCTAGCGAAAAAACTGTCATGCGGGGTAACTGTCTAGCGAGGCACCACTGCATGCCTTAAAGCAGTGAGACCTTTAAACAAGACCTTTAAATCTCTAGCATTCCTTTTATTGGGTGCCAGCCAGCTAGCAGGACACCATTCGGTGCCCACCTCTGGTTTCCTTTGTTCACCTCTGCCTAGCAATAAGACTGCATTCCATGCCTGCTGAGCATGCTCGGTGGTCACTGAATTCCCTTCCCTTATCCCCTGCCCCCATATTTTTATACTTCTATAAACCTTCAGATTACTCCTGCCTATTTTTACCTAAGCATGGCACCTTTTGCCTATATATAGAGAGAGATCTGTACTAAGAGACTAAGATGACTGTTTAAGTTGAAAATTATGTTTAGAGGAGAGTATCTCTGCATTCTGGCTTCTGTGGGACAGACATTAGGAGTAACTGGATAAGTGGACTTCATGAAAACTCACATCAAAATATAGCAGTTAGTCTTTAAGGTGCTGCAACGTTTTTGTCTATTTTTAAATTTTAGCCTTATATGCTAGCCCAGACTAATACAGCTACCTCTCCTAAAACAGTTCTTAGAAGTGATATTATATAAGAACATCTAGAACTGGAAACCCTTTGAGATTTTTGAGAGATACAAAGCTGAAAATAAGCCATGATTAAATTGTTTCGAACATAGTTGGAGAACCATGTCCTTGACCGGGTGATCCTTACCTTCCTCTTGATACTACGGTTTGGTGATTTCTCAGCATTTCCATAGTCTCACACTCTCCCCATTTGATGAGGTCAGATCTCTTAAGATTTCAGTTCTAGCAGTGAAGGTTTTAAATTAAAACATGCTGTCATTTTGGTGTCATGCCATCACACTCCCCAACCCTGGAATTTGTCAACTTTCCCAGGGATTTCTCTGAATCAGAATTCAACCGTAGGGACTGAAGAAGACTTTTTCCCCCTCTAGCACTAGAATGGGCAATCTCTAGAGATATGCCCCCCGAAATATCCTGATTTCTAGATCTTGGATGGGGGCTATTTCTGTTCCCCCCCGTGTTTTTTTCTTACCATTCCGTCTTCTGAAAAACCTGGACCAGTTCCTTGCCCGCCCTAGAGAGCTGCCCCTCCTTTGTGTAAGCCCTTCCTTGAGAACCCCAAGCACTTCCTTTTGCAGAAGGTCCTCCTGCCTTCTGTCTCCTGGTACAGGAGGTCAAGATTCCTGAGATATACACTACAGGCCACTCTGGTAGGTGTCCCGACTGGTCTGATTTGACATAGAGCAACTTCTCATATTCAAGTGTCCAGTATACATTTTGAAGCTGACATTGGGACGGGCTGCATCTTTAAAGTGGTTTCTCACCCAGTTCTTTTCTGCTCCTCGGGCCCTTGCTGTCGTTTCAGGCTCTGTGGCCCTTCAGAGAGACGTCTGCTGATTCGACCAAGATGGCTCCCTCGGACTCCAGCGCGTGGCCGCTCTTCAGAGAGAACAAGGAGGAGGACAGTGTTGAGATCCCTGCTCTGGGTAAGGCTTTCTTGGGTGGGATGAACTCCAGGGGAGTGACCTTCACCTTGGAGTTGCCGTCCAACATATCTCAGAGATGCCAATCGGAGCAAAGGCTGCCTTATAGCGATGCATCAACAAATACAGAAGGATCTCTGCTCTCTTGGAATCAACACTTTGGAGAGCAGCAGAAAATGAAACAGAGAAGGGAATGTGGGTAAGACCCGTCAGTGTCTTTGAAGCCCCCTTAGCTTTCTTTAAGACTGGCGCCTGGTCTTCTTTGACCTTACAAGGGCAATGACAGCTGGCACGTCTGCCACCCTGGAAGGGATCCCCTGGAATTTGGGATGGGATGTATAACCCAGTGGTTAGAGCACCTACTTTTCTGTACTTCTCAGCTTCTGTCTCTGCATCTCCAGGGCAAAAGAGATTCAGAGCCTTTAAAAAGGGCTCTACTGTGAAAGGCAAGGTGCTCTCAAATGCAGAAGTTTTTCTCCAGAGCCTCTGGAATTTAACTCTCAGTTTCCTTAACCACTAGCCATGTTGGCTGGAGTTTTGGGGAACTTGAGATCCCCCAATATTGGGGGGCAGCCAGGTCATGGAAGGCGAGACTGAGGCATGATGGGGGGGATATTGGTGGCCAGAGGAGGTCAGAATGTATCAAAAGAAATAAATTGGAAATCTGATGCTATATAGGGTGTGAGGGAAAGTGTTAAGAAGACATCTAACCTCTCTCTTGGAAATTTCCAGGGGAGTAGCCATTTTGCATTTTAAAGGCTAATAAGTTAATTTGCCCTGAGCTGTTTCGGACTGCAGACTCCTGCATCTGAAAAAACTGTCTGCAATCTGTAAAAGCTTAGGCCAAATCAATCTTTTGGTCCTTGAACCACCACAGGACTCTTGGAGTTTGGGTATAAACTTTCTCCCCAGAAGGGAGAACCAACAGTTAGGATTCTTTTCTTATTCCAGCTGACGAAGAGAGGCCCTTTTGGAAGGAGAAGAATCTGTCTGTGAAAACAAAGGGAGTCGACTGGATCCTGCCAGTTAAAATAGAACAGACCCTTTCCCAAAATCCTGATAAAGGAGGATCGTCTGAGAAGGAGCAGAAAACTAACACCATTAATGAAGAAATTGAAACCGTTCATTTTCATCCAGCCTCCGTGGAGAATCCGTACACGTGCTGGGATTGTGGGGAGAGCTTCACAGGGATAGACGTCCTGGTGGCTCATCAGAGTACCCACACTGGAGTGAAGCCCTTCAACTGCCCAGAATGTGGGCAGAGCTTCACCCAGCGATCCCTTCTGACTGCCCACGAAAAGACCCACATCCAAGAGAAGCCCTTTTCTTGCCCCGAGTGTGGGCAGAGCTTTAGCAAGCGAGCCGGGCTTGTGTCTCACCAGAAGATCCACACAGGAGAGAAGCCCCATCATTGCACAGAATGTACACAGAGCTTCCTTCACCGGTATGACCTCATTCGACACTTGAGAATCCACACGGGTGAGAAACCACACGAGTGTCCTGATTGTGGGAAAGGCTTCCGGAGCATGTCAGCTTTCCACGTGCACAGGCGGATCCACACCGAAGAGAAGCCTTACCCGTGCTCAGCCTGTGGCAAGACCTTCCGCCATCGCACGAATCTCATTGTGCACGAACGTATCCACACAGGCGAGAAGCCGTATAAGTGCGAAGACTGCAGCAAGAGTTTTGGTGACGCCTCATCTCTTAGGAAACACCGAAGGTCCCACACGGGAGAGAAGCCGTACATCTGTCCTGAGTGTGGGAAAAGATTTTCTCAGAATGCTGGCCTGGTCCAGCATGAGAAGATCCATACAGGGGAGAAGCCCTTTCAGTGCGCCCTCTGTCCCAAAAGCTTCCGGGATAAATCGGCTATTGTCGCACACCAGAGAACCCATACAAAGGAGACGCCGTATCGTTGCCCAGTGTGTGACAAATGCTTTGGCCATCGCTCGAATCTCATTAAACACGAACGAATCCACTCTGCACCGAAAAAGTTTAAATGTTCCTAACGTGGGAAGAACTTCACTCAGAAACCAAATCTCTATCTTGCATGAAAGACCTACAAAAGAGAAAGTGCAACATATGCCCTCTTTTCTGACTTTAACAGAAACTCTCAGTTCCCTTCTATCAGATATGGGAACTGTCCACTTTCATAATTTCTGATTAGTTCCACAGTGGTAATATAAATGAAATGGAGCTCTAATAATTCCGTGGGAAGGTGTATTGATCATATGAAACTAATATGGCCAATTCTCTTATAACCACCATTTATTTTTCCTTCCTTCTTTTTCATTGTTTCATTAGCCTTTTTAAACAAGTTTTGTTCTACGATAAATGAACTGACTTAATGATAATACCATTCATGTTTGGATGCAAGGAATTTAATGTGATTATTCTGTTTAATACAATGATTTACAAAGGATAACCCTGTGGTGACATTTTAGCATACAGGAGACACTTTTTAAAATTTTCTCTTATGAAATCATTCTGCTCCAGTCTCTGTTGGGAGCTGCCATCTTACATCATCCACAATATGAGCACAATGTCAACATTTTATGGCAGGGGAGGGGGTTGGAATCCAAAATGGTGACTGCCTGCCATAGAATGGAGCTGAGTGGATCAGGCCCACCTTACAGCCCCAGATGTTGTCACCATCTATGGGCCTGTTTGGGACAAGCGGTGATTGGTGGTGGTTCCAAGAAAGTGTGGCCCAAGAAAGTGTTGGGGAAATGGCATTATGAAATTTGACAGATTTATGCATGATGAGCACTGGGGAGAACATGCTGAGGGCCCAATGAAGTCTGGTGTCAGATCAGGCATGTTTCGTTCACACATTCTCACCTTGGCAGGTATGATTCAGCATTCATCTACACCTGTGAGGGTTACATTACACCCCTCTGCTCACTCCTGACTGGTGAGATGCCCCCTTATTTGCCACTAGATGTAAGTGGATATTATTACTACTACTATTATTATTATTACAATGACTATTATTATTTTGCCTTCAGCTTGATATTGTTGGAGACCCATGCCTTAGGCTGTAAGTTATGGAAATTACCTTATAGCAACTCAGTATAGGCTCTATGTAAAAGCTACTTTGTTGATTTATTCTTTTCTATTATGATACTTTTGCTTTATTCCTCTTTCCTCCACGTTTAAATAAAGTCTTTCTCAATTGGATATTGGAATCTATTCCCTACTTGCCTCACGTTGTTCTTTCCCCACGTGCAAAGGTCATGGGTTCCATGCTGTGTGTTGCTGAGCCATCTGAGAGGATCTTGAAATGTGATGGTCTGTGTAGAGGAGTGGTTCTTTACCTTAGGCAATCCAGGTGTTTTGGACTAAATCTTCCAGAAGCCCTCACTACTAGTTGTGCTGGCCAAGATTTTTGGGAGTTGTAGGCCAAGAACATCTGGGGAACCAAGGTTGGGAACCATTGATATAGATGATATAGAAGCCAGAATGATGTAGTTGGCAATGTATCTAATAGGTCTGTGAAAATCCATCAAATTTGAACACCTTGTTTTGCAAGCATCATGGGAAGTAGAGCTCTCTTCACTCATTCAGAGATTTTGTAAAGCTTAGATAACATTTCAGGAAGACAAAGCTGTAAGTAAAACTGCACACATTTTAGAATCTGAATAGCTATAATGCACATAATAGATCAATACAAAACTGTTTTATTGAGTGGGAAAATCTAGTTTGGTAAATTGCATAAATACATATACAGTATACAGTGGTGCCTCGTGGGACAAAAAACCTGCAAGACAATTGGTTTTTGCGATCACTATGGTGCTTCGCAAGATGTTTTTTTCTATGACCGTGCTTCGAAGATGTTTTTTTAGACCGATGCTTCGCAAGATGTTTTTTTTTAGATCGATGCTTTGTAAGCCGATTTTTTTTTTAGACCAATGCATAGGGAACCTTGCAAGACGATTTTTTCACAAGACGACAGTTTTCACTGAACGAATTAAAATTGTCTTGCGAGGCACCACTGTACCCAAAAAAGGAAACGATGTAAGAAATGCACCAAAAATGTGTTCAGTTGTTACCAGTGGAGTACCAAAACATATGCCTCGCAAAATCTGATACAACATATGGTGAGAAGAAAATGAAAATGGGATCTGGAGAAATGCAGAAACATTGAGAATGACAACATTTTCCCATCATAGCAGCTGTGGTCTTTAAAGCATGGTATGTATGCACTCTACTGATTATCCCCTGAACATTTCAGAGCTAAGAAAGGCCTTGTCAGTGGCTTAGCAAACGGGCCTGAAATTTTCTTAATACAGTACTACTTTGGAGGTTTTTTATGGCACAGGAGATACCAAGAAGGTGATGATGCTATTATAGAAAGGCATGTGGGTGGCTTGTTATGTAAGTTTTCAATTCGTTATACCTATGTGTGTGTGGTGTGTGTGAGAGAGGGAGGTGCCGCAAGTATTGGGTGGTAAGGGGAACATGGGTGTTATAATCCAATATATCAGAGGAACAGTAGATAGGTAAAATTGAAGTAATTTTACTTTCTAAATTAAAATTGTATGATTGCATTTTTCTGCCCAGTTTCTGGGTTTCTTGTTTATTTATTTGTTTCCTATACGTCCAGTCTTACCTTCAGGGAGCAAAATGCAGTGTTTGTAGCTCTCCTTAATCCACATAACAACACTTTAAGGTAGGCATGTTCAAAGAGAAGGTCTGGGCCTAGGTGTGGTTCAGGTTTGCTGGGTGAAGAGAACCTGGAGATCTCAAGTCTCCGCCCATCACTACCTACCACATTGCACCTGCAACTCAAGAATAAGAGAAAAGGATGAGTTTGATAGATTTGAGAAAAGTTGAAACTTGGTTGAGGACAACATCTGTTTCATTAGGCTTCCTTAATTCAAAGCAGACCATTGTGAGGACAGATCCAAAAAAATGCAATTTCCTCTCCTCCATATAGGTGCAGCAGCAAAGTCGCTTTGAAAAATAAATTAAAAGCATTGAAACAAACTGCCATAGGCCACTGATCAAGGGTTATTTTGGGGAGAAACAAGGCAAAAAGTAGAAAAACCTGAAGGTGGACCCAAACGTTTAGCTATGAGGAACAACGTTAACATTTTTTGTCTATTTATGCCCTGCCTTTCTATCACTAGAGGGATTACAACTAGTCGTCCCCATTTGCCTGCTATGCTCAATGGAAAAGCCACAAATGTTATTTTGACAGAGGAGGCCCCAAATCCTGCAAGCACCTCTCCTTGGCCCTGGCAGAAGAAGCACAAGACGAATCAAGGATTTGCTGCTCTTTTGTGACCCCACATGTGCTCCTCACTTTAAGATACCACTGCAAGGAAAGTTACCTTGAACCCCCCAGTTTGCTGCTGAGAGAACCAAATTGCACTTCTCCTCAAAAGGCAGGCTGTTTTCCTCAAGGTGATGCTGGAAAAGCCCTTCAAGCACCTACCCTCATTGTTTCTTGCCACAAAATGCCATTGTTAACTAAATTAAAGCCCTGCTCCTCTATGATATTTGACAGCCTGAAAGGGGCTTCCTTTGCCTAACGACAGGGCCTGCCTTGAGAAGACTAAATTAATATAAACATGTCAAGATGATCCACCTACAAATAATGGAATTACAAAAATTAAAAACCAAAAGCCACAGAGAGGTTTCGTTTTGTTGAACAATTAACATATTGTTGCAGATTTCCTCTCCTGTTATTGTCTGTCTCTCAAGGTAACCCGTGTAAATTCCCGGTTAAGGGCGGGAAACCTTCAGCCCACCAAATATTTTTGCAATTCCCCTCAGCTTAGGACTTAAGTAACTTTTTGTCACTGTTCTTAAAGACCTAATCTTTCCTGCCCTCCTTAATGTCTTTGTGGGGAATTTAAAGACCCAAAGCACCCCAGGACAATTATACTCTGTGCGACAATTATACTCTGTGTGTGTGTGTGTGACTTGTACTGTAATTTCTCTCCTGTCATCCCCTTTTGCCTCATGATTTAATAATGGAAAACTAAAAACACTGGGCCGAGCTCCGAGGAACTCTGGGATTTGTAGTTTCGAGGTGGGAGGCAGGAGAGGGAATTTTGCAATGGGGAATGGAAGGAAGGTCCTTTGTTTCCAACAGCCAAGATTTACCAGGAACTCTGGGAAATGTAGTTGGGGGAGGGCACAGACGGAGCTTTACAACGGAACAGAGGAGGGGAGGAAACGGGTGGTCCTCCAGATGCCTTTGGAACTGATTTCCCCCCCATCGTTCCTCCCCATTGGTAGCGCCCGATTATGCTGATGGGACACACTCTCCAACAGCATGTGGAGAGCCGCACGTTGCCCACCCGCTGTAATAAAGATCTGGAGGGGAGAGTTTGATCTCCCCTACTTTCCACTGCCTGCCTTGGTTTCTCCCAGAAGCTGGGGATATAGCGCTGAGGGTGCTCCCATGCTGGGTGGGTTGCAAGGGAAGTGGGGGGGGAGGCGAGGAAGAGGAGTGGAGCAAGGCAATTCCTAGAGAGACCCGCATGTGAATTTGGGAAGGGGAGGAGAGGGTTATTTTGGAGCCACTTCCGGCCCCGCCTCACTCAGGGGAGGGCAGGGGGGAGAGGGCACAGTTTTGGCTGATATTTCAGGTTCATTTTTTTCAGGAACCAGGAAAAATCATCTCGTTTGAGGGGTAAGAGGTACCAGGGAGTTGCAGTGATTTGGAGGGCGCTGGGCAGGGCTGGGAGGCCAAGGACAGGCAGAAAGAGATCACAGATCCCCTGGGGGGCAGCTTTCTGAAGGATGGTTACCTAGCAGGCTGCTTGTCCCCAAGTGGGCTACTGTTGTGGACGTTGTTGTTGTTCTTGTTGTTGTTGTTTGAACTTATATGTCGTCCCATAGTGCAAAAGCCACTCTCTGGGCAGCTTACAACATAATTAACCAAGTGGGCTACTGTTGTTGACGTTGTTGTTGTTCTTGTTGTTGTTTGAATTTATATGTCGTCCCATAGTGCAAAAGCACTCTCTGGGCAGCTTACAACATAATTATGCAAGCCACACTTTTTGCCTTAAAAAGCTTGCTTATATATATATTTAAAATTGTGATACATACTCTTAGTGGTCAAAATATTGTTTTTTAAAAGCATCTGTCATACGGTAAGAACCGACCTGAAGTGGGTTTTTAATATTATTGGTAGTTAGAACACAGATACAAAAACAGAGCATGCCACAATCCAAACAGGTAGAATCTCTTTTATCTGGGTGCCCTAAGACCTTCATGGAAACACCTTGAAAGGGAGGCCTCAGCAGTGTCCTTAGTAGTTCATCAAGTCACCACAGGATAGGAGGCAAAAACAAAATGAAAATAAAGATGAGACAAAAATGCAGTGGCACATTAGAGACGAACAGTTATATCGTGATGGGATCGAGTCCACATCCTCAGAACAGTAGAGTGAGACTACATACCTGGCATAATTTCTACTCTACATGGTTCCGTGGCTGGGTAAAGATACGGATGATGGATGAGCGATTCTGTGCAGGACAGCGACGAGGCCCTCTATTCTTCCCAGTTTGCTTGCTAGAAAGCATATGGCTTAAACCAGCCTGTAGCCTCTGAACCAGGCCATGGAAGAAGTGGCAGAATTGCTTATACAAGTTGTCAAGCTCGTAACTTGTGGAGTGAAGGGGCTGCTCTACTACAGGACCAGGGGGGAAAAAAGATGTTAGGTGGAGGAAAATCCTCTTAAACCAAGGAAGAATTCGCACACGTCAGACTCACGAACACGGACAGGCAGATTCACTAGGAATGGAAGGCTGTTCAAGAGGGGGAAACATTGAAAAATATTTGGGGGAGGGGATGTAGAACAATCTGGAGCAGGCCTCGCTGACTTGGGTTCAAATCTCTGCTCAGCCAGGGAAACTCAGCAAGGGGTGGAACTGGTAAAACCACCCCTTAAATATTTTGCTTACCTTCAAAGCCCCATTTAGGCTGTTATGTTGATTCTGACCTGACAGCATATGGAATGGCATCTCCCACACATCGGTCTGCGGAGAGATCACAAAGCATTTCTTGGCTGCATTGATTCTGGTCTTTCTATCAAATGTCTTTCTATCCCTTTGTCTTGTTCTTCATCTAGGCTCAAATTTTGAGATTCTGGAAAGCTTTACTGTTTTTGGCATCAGATCGCTGTTTGGGTGGGTAGTGTGTCCTACCCACTAGAGGCAACCTGGGTCTAAAAATTAAAATGGCGGCAGAGAAGGTCACTTCGTGTTTTGCTCTTGAGTCAGTGAAGCTAGAGAAGCAGCACCTGGTAGAGCCTGACTCTGGGAAACGTGCGGGGAAAATGCCCATCGCCACCATGCCTGGGCCTATAGAGGAATTCCAGGAAGGATTCGCCCCTGCCCAGGTGAAGCAGGAAGATGAGGGAGGGCTGCAAGGATGCTGGGAAGCCCCGTGGGAAGCATCTCAGGCCAGTAGGTCTCCGGAGGAAGCATCGGACTGCAGCCCTCAGCGTAGAGAGCAGCAAGTGGAGCCCATCCATCCCAGCGTCCTCCTGGAAATCCCAACAAGCCCGTTGGCCAAAGACAAGGGCCACAGCAGGGCAGTCAAAGAGGAGGATCTGGATGCAGAGTCCCTGCGCAGGCGCTTCCGGCGGTTCCGTTATCAGGACGCTGAGAGTCCCCGAGATGTTTACAGCCAACTCCAAGAGCTTTGCCACCAGTGGCTGGAGCCGGAGAAACGTACGAAAGAGCAGATCCTGGAGCTGGTGATCCTGGAGCAATTGCTGACGATCCTGCCGGGAAAAATCCAGGCGTGGGTGAGGGAAGGGAGGCCGGAGTCCTGCCCTGAAGCAGTGGCCTTGGCGGAGGAGTTCCTGCTGCTGCAGCAGCAACCCAGAGAGGAGCCGAGGTGGGAAAAGCAGGTGAGTGTTACGCCTGTGTTTTGTTATTATTGTGGGCTATGAAGTTGCTTCTGATTCATGCCAACCGTATAAATGAACAATCTCCAAAATCTCCTTTCCTTAACTGCCCTGCTGAGCTCTTGCAAACTCAAACCTGTAGCTTCCTTCACATAGTCAGTCCATCTTGTATTTGGCCTTCCTCTTTTCCTGCTGATTTCTACCTTTGCCAGCATTATTTTTTTTTTCAGGAGAATCTTGCTTTCTCATAATATGCCCACAGTAGAACAGCCTCAGTTTCAACATTTTGGCTTTTAAAGATAGTTCAGGCTTGATTTGATCTAGAACCCATTTGTTCATCTTTCTGGCAGTCCATGGTATCAGCAAAGCTCGCTTCCAGCACCTATTTCAAATACAGTGGTGCCTCGCACAACGATTGCTTCATACAACGATGAATTCACACAGCGATGGGTTTCTTTGAGGAATTTCCCCCATCGTTTAACGATGTTCTCTATGGGGGAATTTCACTTAACAATGTCCCTTTTTCGCTCCTGTAAAAGTGTCTTAAACTGTTAGAAACCTGTTTTAAATGCTTGGAATCGTTAGCCCACCTCCTGAACCGTATGCAAACTTCATTTGGTGTTGTTCTGAGTCTTCATTAATTTTTGGTGATTTTTGTTATAAGTCTTTGCTAGATTGCCGTAGAGCATGACGCCAGGGGCTGCTTCTGACGGTGGGAGAGGTCATTGCACCTCACTAGGTAGATACCACCCGCCTTAAGCTGGGCAGCCCCCAGCCAGTAAGGTGCCACCTCGCCATGGTCTGTTAACCACACGGGGTGCATGGGGTTTAGGGTGAAAGCCGACAAGCAGATCGATAAACCTGCACCATGCAACGATCGTAAGAAAACTAAATATATTTTCCATCCTAAACACCAAAACTGAGCAACCATGCAGGGAGAACCGTCCTCCCGTCCCCTGCCTGGAATGGCCAGCTGAGCAGGGAGATGGAGGAACTACTTCTGCGATTGGCGGGAAGGGCAAGATGCTGGCAGTGTGGCGGTGCATGAGTGGATGGGCTTGTTCTGGGGGCCGGACCCACATTATTTGCAGCTGGGAGTGGGATATTCGTATTTGTAGATTAATACGAACATCCCCCTCTCTAATGGGAAGGGCAGCAATGAAGAAATTAGAAAAGACCATCAAACATAAGGATATGTCACTGGAGATGGAGACTAATACCATCCACACTCTTCTATTTCCTATCGCCATGTATGGGTGTGAAAGCTGGACAGTGAAGAGAGCTGAGGAAAAAAAACATTTACAGTGGTGCCTCGCTTAACAATGTTAATTGGTTCCATTAAAAAAATCGTTATGTGAAAACATCGTTAAGTGAAACACTATTTCCCCTTAGGAATGCATTGAAAACCGGTTAATCCGTTCCAATTGGAACGGATTAACCGGTTTTCAATGCATTCCTAAGGGGAAATAGTGTTTCACTTAACGATGTTTTCACATAACGATTTTTTTAATGGAACCAATTAACATTGTTAAGCGAGGCACCACTGTAAATGTTTTTTTTCCTCAGCTCTCTTCACTGTCCAGCTTTCACACCCATACATGGCGATAGGAAATAGAAGAGTGTGGATGGTATTAGTCTCCATCTCCAGTGACATATCCTTATGTTTGATGGTCTTTTCTAATTTCTTCATTGCTGCCCTTCCCATTAGAGAGGGGGATGTTCGTATTAATCTACAAATACGAATATCCCACTCCCAGCTGCAAATAATGTGGGTCCGGCCCCCAGAACAAGCCCATCCACTCATGCACCGCCACACTGCCAGCATCTTGCCCTTCCCGCCAATCGCAGAAGTAGTTCCTCCATCTCCCTGCTCAGCTGGCCATTCCAGGCAGGGGACGGGAGGACGGTTCTCCCTGCATGGTTGCTCAGTTTTGGTGTTTAGGATGGAAAATATATTTAGTTTTCTTACGATCGTTGCATGGTGCAGGTTTATCGATCTGCTTGTCGGCTTTCACCCTAAACCCCATGCACCCCGTGTGGTTAACAGACCATGGCGAGGTGGCACCTTACTGGCTGGGGGCTGCCCAGCTTAAGGCGGGTGGTATCTACCTAGTGAGGTGCAATGACCTCTCCCACCGTCAGAAGCAGCCCCTGGCGTCATGCTCTACGGCAATCTAGCAAAGACTTATAACCAGTAACTGCTACTTCCCATGTTGTTTCGATGCTGTTTGCGAACCAGGAGTGTCCTCTCCAGAGCACAAAGCCTGGGTAAAGCAATACTGTATGGAGGATAGACTGTTACCCAAGCAGCAAATCCCCCTCTCCTTATCACTGAAATAGTCCAATGGACAGGCAAGAGCCAATACAACTGGTTCCAGCGACGTTGCAGGAGTTGACAGAATGACACGAACTGCCTCCAGGACTCCGGCTCTGGATTTTGCCTCGAGGTTAACTCCTGAAGCCTTTTCCATGAGTGGATATGGCCACAAGGCAGTGGAGGTTTGAAATCGGAGTTTTCCTTCTCCTAGATGGGCTGCCTTCCATGGCTGACGAGCCCCACCTACCAGGCCTGCTCCCTAAGAGTGCGGAGGTAGGGAGGCAATAGCGCTGCAGCTTTAATGAGAAACTGGACAACAAACCTTTTCAAGGGACCCATCGGCGTAACTGGGCATCTGATCTTCCAGTTCTATGATCAGATTTTGGCTCCACCTGTCATCCTCGATGGTTTTCAGGGACATTCTCAGAAACTATGGAGGACAGAATGACAAAAATCAGACATTTGGATTACAGGGGCCTTGATGTCTGCTCGTAAGATGCCATGACCACAGTTTCCCCTGCCAAAATGCCTTTGGAAATGGACCTCGACAGATGGGAAACAGCGTTCTTGAAATGTTCCCATTGTTCAGGTGCATTTGCATCAGCCGGGCCTGGACATCTGAGCGTTCAGGGCCCTGACATCTGAGTGTTCAGCCTGGAGGCAGGCAGTGCCTCATGGCCTCTCCCAATTTGAAGAGGCCCTTGTCCAGGAGGCCAAGGCAAGGAGGCAGTCCCGAAAGCAGCAAAATCAGGGAGCTAGACGGGGTACAGACTGTATTTGTCTTCAGTGTGGAAGGGATTGTCACTCTCAAATTGGCCTTCTCAGCCACACTAGATGCTGTTCCAAGTCCTCCATACAGAGCACGTTACCATAGTCTCCCGAGACCTCTGAATAGTGGTTTCTCTGAGACAGCCATTAGGGCAACTGTTCTCACAGTTGATATTATATAAGAAAATATGGAACAGGGGAATCTTGGAGACCCTTGAGGGATACAAAGGAGCCAGAGATTGGGAGTTTGATTCCCCACTGTGCCTTCATAGGATCCATTGGGTCCCTTCCAGATCTGCAGTTCTGAGATGAAGATGATTTAGGGCATGGGCAGGGCATGGGCAGAGGATCATTTCCTTGTCCTAATTGTCCTCAACTTCCCCTTGATACCACAGTGATTTCTCAACATTTCAATAGGTTTTCCCCATCCTCTGAGATCAAATCTCATAAGATATAATTACTGGCAGTGAATATTTTATGCAAAATATGATGTTATTTTTTGTTATTTTTGGTCTCGCCCCGTTGCACTGCCCAACCCTCGAATAATGTTGTGACGGGCTGCATCTTTAAAGTGGTTTCTCACCCAGTTCTTTTCTGCTCCTCGGGCCCTTGCTGTCGTTTCAGGCTCTGTGGCCCTTCAGAGAGACGTCTGCTGATTCGACCAAGATGGCTCCCTCGGACTCCAGCGCGTGGCCGCTCTTCAGAGAGAACAAGGAGGAGCACAGCGTTGAGATCCCTGCTCTGGGTAAGGCTTTCTTGGGTGGGATGAACTCCAGTGGAGTGACCTTCACCTTGGAGTTGCAGTCCAGCGTATCTCAGAGATGCCAGTCGGAGCAAAGGCTGCCTTATAGCGATGCATCAACAAATACAGAAGGATCTCTGCTCTCTTGGAATCAACACTTTGGAGAGCAGCAGAAAATGAAACAGAGAAGGGAATGTGGGTAAGACCCGTCAGTGTCTTTGAAGCCCCCTTAGCTTTCTTTGGCACCTGGTCTTCCTTGACCTTGCCAGGGCAATGACAGCAGGCACATCTGCCACCCTGGAAGGGATCCTCTGGAATTTGGGATGGGATGTATAACCCAGTGGTTAGAGCAGCTACTTTTCTATGTATGTTAAGTTTCCCCACTCTAATCTCTGGCATCTCTAGTGCAAAGGAGCTTCATAGCTTAAAAAGGGCTCTGCTTTGGTAGACAGGGTGCTCTCAAATGGCGGGGCTGTTCTCCAGAGGCTCTGAAATTCAGTTCCCATGTTCCCTCACCAGTAGCCATGTTGGCTGGGATGTTGGGGAACTGCAAATCCCAAACTTCTGGAAGACAGCAAGGTCAAAAAGAGTGTTGGGTGCTGAAACCTCAGGTCAAATAAATATTTTAAAATGCCACAGGACTCTTGGCTTTGGTGTGTAAACTGATCCAACCTGCCTTCCCCGCCCCGCCCCCCGGAGCGTACATCCCACATTGTTAGGATTCTTTTCCTATTTATTTATTTTTAAAGGATTCTTTTCTTATTCCAGGTGAAGAGGAGAGACCATTTTGGAAGACGAAAAATCTGCCAGTGAAAACAAATGGAGTCAGCTGGATCCTGCCGGTTAAAATAGAACAGACCCTTTCCCAAAATCCTGATAAAGGAGAATCTTCTAAGAAACGACAGAAAATTGACACCATTAGTGAAGATATCGAAACCATTTGTTTTCATCCAGCCTCCGTGGAGAATCCGTACACGTGCTGGGATTGTGGGGAGAGCTTCACAGGGATAGACGTCCTGGTGGCTCATCAGAGTACCCACACTGGAGTGAAGCCCTTCAACTGCCCAGAATGTGGGCAGAGCTTCACCCAGCGATCCCTTCTGACTGCCCACGAAAAGACCCACATCCAAGAGAAGCCCTTTTCTTGCCCCGAGTGTGGGCAGAGCTTTAGCAAGCGAGCCGGGCTTGTGTCTCACCAGAAGATCCACACAGGAGAGAAGCCCCATCATTGCACAGAATGTACACAGAGCTTCCTTCACCGGTATGACCTCATTCGACACTTGAGAATCCACACGGGAGAGAAACCACACGAGTGTCCTGATTGTGGGAAAGGACTCCGAACCATGTCAGCTTTCCATGTTCACAGGCGGATCCACACTGATGAGAAGCCTTACCCCTGCTCAGCTTGTGGGAAGACCTTCCGCCATCGTGCAAATCTCATTGTGCACGAACGGATCCACACAGGCGAGAAGCCATACAAGTGCGAAGACTGCAACAAGCGTTTTGGTGATGCCTCATCTCTTCGGAAGCACCAGAGGTCTCACACGGGAGAAAAACCGTATATCTGTTCAGAGTGTGGGAAAAGATTTTCGCAGAATTCTGGTCTGGTCCAGCATGAGAAGATCCATACAGGGGAGAAGCCCTTTCAGTGCGCCCTCTGTCCCAAAAGCTTCCGGGATAAATCGGCTATTGTCGCACACCAGAGAACCCACACAAAGGAAAGACCATATCGCTGCCCAGTGTGTGGCAAATGCTTTGGCCATCGCTCAAATCTTATTAAACATGAACGAATCCACTCTACACAAAAAAAGTTTAAATGTTTGTAATATGCGAATAAGAAACCAAATCTCTGTCTTGCATGAAAGACCTGTGAAAGAGAAAGCACAACATGCTCTCTTTTCTGACTTTAACAGAAACTTGCAGTTCCCTTCTCCCTTTGGAGAAGGAATAATTTCTATTTTTTTCAACAGTGATAATATGAAATTTATTAATAGCATAATTATTAGCAGAGCTGTACGGTGCATTGATTATATGAAGATTAATACGGCCAATCATTTTCTTACGACCATTTATTTTTCCTCATTTTGTTTTATTTCTTTAGCATTTTTAAACAATTTTTGTTGTACAGTATATTAAATGAACTGAGGGAATGAGTACAGTAATGTCATTCATGTTTGAACTCCTATCAGTTATTCTGTTTAATACAATGATTTACAAAGGATAACTCTGTGGTGACATTTTAGGATACAGAAGACACTTTTTAAAAATTACTTTACCAAACCATTCTGCTCCATTTTGCTGTGGGCAGCTGTCATCTCGTATTGCCCAGAATATAAGCACAATGTCAGCATTTCCTTAAGAGATGGCTGTGGGGTTTAAAATGTAAGATGGCAGCTTCCTGCCATAGAATGTGCTGAATGGATCAGGCCCAGCCTATAGCACAGATGTTGCCACCTTCCATAAGCCTGTTTGTAGAAGGCGATTGATGGTAGTCACTCCACATAAGCATGACCTTAATGGTGTTGGGAGAATGAAACTATGAAATTGGGTGGGAAGATTTATACATGGGAGGCACTGGGGACAACATGCTGAGGACCCACTGAAGTCTGATGTCAGACCCATGTCCTTCACATAATCTCACCTTAGCAGGTATGATTCAGCATTCATCTATACCTGTGAAGGTTACATTACACCCCTCTGCTCACTCCTGACTGGCGAGGTGCCTCCTTATTTGCCACTAGATATAAGTGGATATAATTATTATTATTATTTAAAACACCAGGCACAATCTAAAAATTATAAAAACATTAACTGGTATTATATATCAGATGCAAGTTTCAACAAAAAACTTAAGTATCTGTTAAATAGTGACACAGTATTGTTCCTGATATTTTGTAGTTCTGATGGTGTTATTTCTCACTATTGCCATTTTTTTGTAGTTCTGATGGTGTGATTTCTGAGATCTGCAACTGCTCATAGTACTGTGTGAAATTTCTTGATATTCTTCCCAAAGTCCCAATGACCGCAGGAACCACTGAAATGTGTTTCTTCCAGAGGCGAGAGATTTCAATTGCCAAGTCTCTGTACTTCGTTAGTTTTTCCAATTCTTTATTTTCAACTCTGGCATACCCTGGAATTGCAATGTCAATGATCCAGACCTGTCTTCGTTCTATTACCACTATGTTTGGTGTGTTATGTTCAAGGTGTCTGTTTGGATCCGGAAATCCCACAAGATTTTGACTTCCTCATTTTCTGACACCTTCTCTACCTGATGTTCCCATGAGTTTTTGGAGGCCGGAAAGTTACATTTTTCACATAATGAGCAGTACATGAACTTTGCCACTCTATCATGTCTAACTTCGTAATCTGTTTGTGCAATCTTTGGACATTCACAAATGTGGTGTGACACAGTTTCATCTTTTTCTTGGCAGAGTCAACATTTGCTGTTAGCACTAATGCCTTGGTTTGGAGTGCTTGTTCTTGTGCAGCAAAAATCAATCCTTCAGTTTCTTTCTTAAGGGTTCCCAGCTTTAGCCATGCCCATGGTGAATTATGATCATGCTTTCCATCAATATTTCTCAGGTGTTGTCCATGTAGTGGATTATTCTCTCCAGCTGTTTAATTTCTTTTCAGATGGTTGTTTCTTATACTGAGCCTTTGTTTCTGTTGTTTTCAAAATATTCTCCATTTTCACTGCTTTCAGTAATTTTTCTTGTACTGATATAATCATTTAGGCTTATTTTTAATTCCTCTACTGCCTCCTGTATTTGCAGTAATCCATGACCTCAATTCCTCTACTGCCTCGTGTATTTGCAGTAATCCATGACCTCCAATTTTTTGTGGTAAATATAATCTCTCCACATTGCTTTTTGGATGTAGTGTGTGATGCATGTTCATTAAGTTTCTGTGTTTTTTGATCCAATTCTTCTAGTTCGTTTCTTGTCCATTCTGTTATTCCAGCTGGGTATCTAATTCCAATGAGTAATCTAATTACTCACTGGAAGGACAGATTCTGAAGCGGAGGCTCCAATACTTTGGCCATCTGATGAGAAGAGAAGACTCCCTGGAAAAGACACTGATATTGGGAAAGTGTGAAGGCAAGAGGGGAAGGGGACGACAGAGGATGAGATGGTTGGATAGTGTCTTTGAAGCTACCAACATGAATTTGACCCAACTCCAGGAGGCAGTGGAAGACGGGAGGGCCTGGGAAGTTCTGGTCCATGGGGTCACAAAGAGTCAGACACAACTTAACAACTAAACAACAACAACAACAATCTAATTACTGGAATAGCCCATTTGTTGATGGCTTTGATTGTACTTCCCCCATTTAATGGCTTTGATTGTACTTCCTCCATTTAATTGTGATTTTAAGATTTTCTGTGGTCTTTTGCTATGTTCTGTTTCTGTCAGTTCTTTAACATTTGTGTGCACGGTGTCTAGTATTCCAAGTATTTATAATTTTCATCACTTTTTAGGCCAGATGGGCGGGGTATAAATCAAATAAATAAATAAATAAATAAATGACTTGAAAGTGATTTTATAATATTGCCATTTTAACTCAATTCCATCTAGTTTTGGGATCTTGCCACGGTGTATGGACAGAGCTGCATATTTGTTAATTCCAAATTTCATTGGGATACCTTCACTAAATATTTGCACTGTGTCCTTCACTAAATACAGTATTCGCACTGTGTTTAGCAGTGATTCTATCTCTGTAGAACTTTTTGCATGTACGCAGTTTAAAGTCATCCATGTATAAGAGATGATTGATTTTTCCAGCTTGTTGTGAAATATGGTAGCCCAATCCAGTTTTATTTAAAATTATTGACATGGGGATTAGTGAGATGTTAAACAGCAGTGGTGACAAAGAATTCCCCCTGAAATATTACTATTTTGATGTTAACTTCCCCAATTTCTTCACCATGGGCACATGCCTTGTTGAGGTGGAGGGGCTTGTGCGCTTCAGTGACGTTGAGAGCTATGCTGAAGGGCCTCCCAAGCCAGAGAGGTCTCCACTGAGAAGCAAGACCAACTGTGTCCACCAACCATCAATTCTGATGAGAGGAAATAAACAGAAATCCATACCAGATCAGTTGTCACCCAAGGTCAACAAGGACTGCACCAGGTGCTATAGCCCCATGGCATGTGGTGACAAATGGGCTACAGGGCTCAGCAGACCTTGTTGAGAAGCCAGGATAGGCTGCTGCAAAGCTACTGGAACAACGTAAACACTAAACTTGCACTCTTGCTGAAAATTGAGTAGTAGTAGTAGTAGTAGTAGTAGTAGTAGTAGTAGTAGTAGTAATAGTAATAGTAATAGTAATAGTAATAGTAATACTTCTTCTTCTTCTTCTTCTTCTTCTTCTTCTTCTTCTTCTTCTTCTTCTTCTTCTTCTTCTTCTTCTTCTTCTTCTTCTTATTATTATTATTATTATTATTATTATTATTATTATTATTATTATTATTAAATTTGCAGAGAGGGCGAAATGAGGGCTTAATTGTTGGAGACCCATGCCTGAGGCTGTAAGTTACGGAACTTTTCTTATAGTGACTCAGTACAGGCTCTATGTAGAAGCTCCTTTGTCAAATTTTTCTTTATTATGATACCTTTGCTTTATTTCTCTTCCTTCCAAGTTTGAATAAGGTATTTTCCAATTGGGTTTTTTAAGTTAGTGCCTTATTTTCCTCTGGTTGTTCTTTTCTACATGCAAAGGTCACTGGGCTTCAAGCTGATGTTGCTGAACCATCTGAGAGGATCTTGAAATGTGATGGTCTGCGGAGAGGATACAGGATAATTCAGAATAATGCCACTTAGTGCTGCCCTCACTCTTTCACACTTGTTGTTTAGTTGTTAAGTCATGTCCGACTCTTCGTGATGCCCCATGGACCAGAGCACACCAGGCCCTCCTGTCTTCCACTGCCTCTCAGAGTAGGGTCAAATTCATGTTGGTTGCTTGGATGACACTGTCCAACCATCTCATCCTCTTTCACACTGGGTTTCCTTAATTTAAATAAGACAACTGCTAGATAGCTCAGTGGTTTAGTTCTCTGGTAACAGAGCCATAGTTTGTGAGTTTAATTCCCACTGTGCTTCCCTGACAGGTATTGGACTCAATGATCCTTCCCAATTCTGCAGTTCTAAGATTATTATTATCATCATCATTATAACTCTAACGAGAGATTTAAATGCAGATTTTTCTCTCCATATGAGTGAATATAACACCAGTAGTGAAGATACCCACTACAGCACTTGCTACGCACAAGAGTAACCAATTCAAGCATCAACCATTTGCTGCTCTTTCGTGATACTACAGCTGCCCTCCCCCAAATAAGCTTGAAACCACCACCGCCCTGTTTGCTGCTAAGAGAACCAGATTACACCTTTCCTTTAAAGGCAGTCTGTTTTCCTCAAGGCAATGCTGGGAAAGCCCCCCCCCCAAAGCACTTCCCTTGTCATTTCTTGGCATGAAAATACAAATGGAACAAAATTAAATTACTAACAACGTCCTGCTTCTCTGTGACATTTGGCAGTCTGAGAGGGGCTCCCGTTGCCTAATGGTAGGGCCAGCCTTGAAGTGGCTAAATGAATTTCAAGATGGTCCAACTGCAAACAATGGAATAAGAGGAATTAAAAAGGAAAGACCAGAAGGAGGTTTTCCAAGAGAAGCACAATGTACAGCTAGCGTCTTGCTGGGGAATTCTTCCCATGTTTTTGCCTCTCAGGGATAACACAGGGAAAATTCTGGTCAAGAGAAAGGGTGGGAGACCTTCAGCCCACCAGATATTTTTGCAATTCCCCTCAGCTCAGAAAGGAAGTTACTTTTTCATGCTACAAGTCCAAAATGCCCCTTCTCCTGCCACCATGAGGGAAGTAACTGGTCTTAAGGTCACTGTCTTCCCGCCCCTCCTAGGTGGGGAACTTTAAGCCCAGTAGCACCTGTGGGACCAAGGCACTGAGGATTAAAATGATATATTTTTGAGAGAGGGAGAGAGAATGAGGATTTCTGGGAACTGTAGTTCTGGGGGTGGAAGGCAGGTGGGGAAGCTTTGCAAAGCGAGGCAAGCAATATCCAACAGCCAAGTCCACCCAGGAACTCTGGGAATTGTAGTTCGGGGAGGGCACAGACAGAGCAAGGGGATACAGGTGACCCTCCAGATGTTTTTGGAACCCATTCCCCCTCCCTCGTTCCTCCCCATTGGTAGTGCCCAGTCGGGTGGTGTGGAGGTGCAGTCAAACAACATGTGGGAGGTTGGAAGTTGCCCACCCCTGTAGTAAAAGGGGTTATCCCTCCCCCCTCCTGTCCTGGTATTTCCCAAGAGCTGGGAATACAGTGCTGAAGGTGCTCCCACAGTGTGTGGATTAGATGGCAAGGGGTTTGTGTGTGAAACAAGGCAGTTCCTAGAGAGAGCAACATGTGGATTGGAAGGAGGGGACAGGAGGGGTTTAGTTAGAATCACTTCCTGCCCCACCTCTGCGGTGGGGGGGGAGAGGAATTTTGGATGGATCTCTCAAGTGCATTTTCATCTCATGGGAGAGGGATTTAAGAGGTCCAGGGAGTTGCAGCGATTTGGAGGGCGCTGGATAGGGCTGTGAGGCAAACGACAGGCAGAAAGAGATCACAAGACACCCCCCACCCCCAATGTGGCAGCTTTCTGAAAGATGGTGCGATTAATTTTTTGCAGGCGGCTTGTAATAGATAGGTGCTTTGACCATCAAAAGCTTCCTTTCTCCTTGTTTGTTTCTTTTTGTCCTTTTTTTATTTTTTTATTTTTTGGTCCGGAGGAGTTGACAGGAGATTGG